TATTTCTTCAGGTTAACACACAGACGCTGTGGTCCAGAGTGGGCCGAGGCTGCATCTCATGCAGGCAGACTGATGTTACAATCCAGGGATCAGGAAATTTCTGAATACTGCCTCTTTACAAAGTAGGCAGCTAGACACTACGGGAAATTCTCAGGCTCTTCTACTTTTTGATCACCAGGAACAGCCAATAGCGGTATGAAAAATAGTTCCTTCCTAATTTCTACATTCCAGATTTCATGCAGAAATTTCCCAGCATGCTGTACCAATTTGTTGCACAGTGGTTTCCTCTGAACTAAAACATTTCACTCTTCAGGGAGACTCCTTAAGACTGTGGAAGCAAACAACTCAGTACCCTCAGAACATCCCTAAAACTTACAGGCTACACAAAGCCCTTCCTCTCCCAAGGTTATGGAAGTGGTAAGGATTGCTGAGGAGACTCCAGCCTTTGTGCTTTGGCCAATTGTACAGAGAGCCCCGAGGTTCCACCTGTCATGAATCATCACCCATGCTGGAGTGAGCTTTTGGTGATCCTGTACATAACCCTTTACTCATGCTCCTTTAACCCCCAAAAGTTCATTGTTTCAGATCAACGTTGTTGATATAGTTACTTTGCTCTGTTGTTGGTTTCCTGTCTAGGGCAAGTAGACACTGCATGTCTCCCCAGGAAGAATGACACACAACACTATTATATTGGCCATTCCTTCACTTTCAGATTTGTTCATTGTCACCAAGGTAGGGTGAGTGAAGAGAAGGTGCCAAACCAGACTATCTTTACATAACGTTGCCTAGACCCAGACTTCTACCTACAAAAAGCTTTGGGGGATGAGATGTTTATTTCACATATTATTTATTCTCAGAAATTAGCACAGTGTGTTTATAAATGAATGAGTAACCATTAATAATCATTAAGGTCATCTTTTAATACAGTGACAATTTTTGATATATAGATTTATGTCCTTAAACTAAACATTCCCAAACTGCTATTTGAGTTTCTAGATTTATTTTTTTCACACTTTTTTTTGTTAGACTAATCAGGTGCTTTAGGCAGTTAAGGTGAAACAGCAACACATCTTTATATAATTAAATGCAGCCTAAACAAAAGCAGCACACCTTTACATAATTAGACAAATGCAACACATCTTACATAGTTAATAGTTAAACAATTATTCTGCAACATAAGTGTAACACATCTTGAGTTAGTTAAACAAATATTCTATTCCACAATAGTCCCACCCATACAATCTACCTCTCTTCACCAGTGTCAACTCTGAACTCATGACAGATTCTAAGACATCCTAGAAGATACCAGAGTGACAGGATAAAAAAAAAAGAAAGACTAAAGCCCTGCTTGTCATGTGAGGCCTCTCTAGGTTTATTAACACCCACTGCTCTCCAGGGATGAAGTAAAAAAGACTTTGTATGTTAAACGAGCAGACACCTCCAAGCACATGCACCCAAGCTTGTGCACTCAGCTCAGGAAAGGATTGGTTCACTTCTCTAACATAGCATCAAAGAGTGAATGAAACAAAGTCTAGTTTCTAAACCAGTGAACTTGCTTTGAATCTCAAGTTAAAAGAAAGGAAAGATCTGTTCTTGTTGATTTCCTCCAGTTCCTTTCTCTCCTTCCTGAGCGATTTGAAGGTTATCTAGCTAGGGGCAGACAGCGAAATATGCATCTTCTGTGGGCAGTAATACATGGCAAGGGGAAGAGTGTCCCACATGGCTGATGGGCCGGCATAGGTTAGGGAGCATTCACCAAGTAAGGGGATGGCAGGAGTTCAGTTGGCACTGATAAAATAAGCATTTATACCAAGGATAATGAAAGTCAATTTTTTCTGTCAAGAAAGAAAGACATAGATAAGAAAAGGAAGAAACCTAAGTAGCTCTTGAATTGGATTAGAACTGAAGGTTTTAGTAGACAGAATCATCAGTAAATGTGCAGACACAGAAATAAGCAGAGGTGTATGTGTACATACACACCTTTGTGCCTTTGTTTGGCTCTTCCCTGGCTCTCGATGGTCTTGAACCAGTGCCATCCCAGTAATAAAAGATTTAAGGTAATAAAAATCAAGAAAGGCTGATATACTGTTCTAGAATAGTGAAGACTAAATAGACATGGTTATTAATGCAACAGGTACTGGACCCTTTTGCTATAACAAATAGATAGTTTAAGTTAATTGGGAAAGCTAAAGTAGAATTTAAGGTTTTGATGGCAGTTAACTTACTGATTTTGATGGCTGTAGTTAGACAAGAGAATGGTCTTATATGTAAATATATATATTCAAGTATTTAGAGGTTGTGCATTAGGTCATTATTATCAAGTCATGTAGAGATAATCATTCTTGTAATTTTTCTGCTTTAAAATAATTAAAAAAATCAGTCTGAACAGGAGGCAATGGGAGGAGGATCATAAGTTCAAGGCTCTCCTAAAGGAAATGTTGAATAGCCTCATTTTGTGCCAATATTTTGTAAGTCAGCCATAGGAAATGATATGTAAGCAATTTCCTGAATCTATAGTTTACCATTACATGGATGACATCTGACTCAAACGTAGATTCTTTAGAAGGAATGTTTGAGAAGCAAAGAAAAATTTGCCTTATTGGAGATTACAAATTGCTCCTGAAAAAAATACAAAGAGGAGATTCTATTAATTATTTAGGCTATAAAATAGGGCTACAGACAACTAGACCATAAAAGGTGCAAATTAGGAGAGTCAACTGTAGACTCTTAATGGCTTCCAAAGGTTGCTAGGAGACATTTCCCAGCTACCACTCACTATTGGGATAAAACCTGATGAAATGATTCATTTAAACAAGACCTTAGGTGGTGACAATGAGTTAAATAGACCAGGAAATCAACAAAGGGGGCTGAGAGAGAATTGACTTTGATTGAAGAGAAATTACAGAAAACATGTGGATAATGTGGCTCCAAATCTTAACTGCATTCTGGTCATATTACCCTCCAAACATTCCCCTACAGGAATTTTAATGCAGAGGGAAGATAATATCTTTGAATGGACCTTTTTGCCACATAAACCAAGTAAAAAATTAAAAACTTATGAGGAAAAGGACTCTGAGTTAATTATAAAAGGAAAATTGAGACTTCATTAATTAGCAGGAATAGGTCCAGCAAAAATTATAGTACCTTCCAATAATAATGAAATTAACAAATTATTGGAAGAAAGTGAATCCTGGGAAAGAACTTGCAGTAATTTGGGGGGGGAGAGATTAACAACAAATATCCCCAATGCGAGAGAATTTGATGTATAAAGAGAGCCAACTGGATCCTTCCTCACATTGTATGAGACGTGCCAATAACTGGAGCCCCTTCATTCTAAACTGATGCAAATAAATCTGGAAAGGCAGGTTGTAAATCAGAAATTTTAAGTAAAATGGAAGAAAGCCCTTATGAGCCTGTCCAAAAGTTATAATTATATGCTATTTTCTTGGTACTAAGTAATTTTTAAAAACCCTGAACATAGCCACCTAATGTGGGTTGTCCTTCTGTATATGTGCTATTTTTATTGGTTGAAGAATAAAACTGTTTCAGCCAATGGTTTGGCAGAGTAAATCCAGGTGGGAGATCCGAACAGAGATTTTTATAGAGAGTAGGAGGAGTCAGAGAGATGCCATGTAGTTGCCAAAGGAGAAAGATGCAAGAACATTACTGGTAAGCCACATCCTCTTGGTAATAAATAGATTAATAGAAACGAGTTAATTTAAGATGTAAGAGCTAACTAGGAATATGCCTAAGCTATTGGCTAAACAGTGTTGTAATTAATATAGTTTCTTTGTGACTATTCAGGTCTGGGCAGTTGGGAAACGAAAGCACAGTCTCTGTCTACAAATAGCACACAAACTTTTGGCAAGAATTTCCACATAAAGCCTGAGAAAGCTTTTTTAAAAAATAAGGATTTTAGACAGAAAAGAACAGAGTCAAGCATGGCTTCTTGGTAGCAGCATTGTCTCAGATGGGTTCTGTTTGCTAGAGGCAGAGGTGCTGCTCCTTTAAGAAAGGCTTCCTGACTCAGCATTAATAACAAAAACCTTGCAGCTCTTTTAAAAGGTCCTGCCACTAAACACTTAAATGGTATTCACAAGCAGCCAGAGGAGGCTTCTTGGTGGCGGCATAGACCTGGAAACTCCATAGAGTTGTGACAATAAACATGGCTCCTGCCATGAAGCTAGACTCAAAAAGCTAAGGAATCGGGTAGAGCCAGCTGCCAAAGCTGCAGCTTCAATCCTACCATACTGCTTAGCAAATTAAAGATTCACAAGGTCAGAAAATGATAGATACATAAAGACAGATTCAGATGGGAAAAAAAAAAACTCTAAATGGCTTACAGTGTATTTTAAAATATATGTAGGCTTGAGAGATAAAAGAAAAATGATAAAGTCCTTAAAAAAGAAATAGAGAAGCCAGGAGTGGTGACACACACCTTTAATCCCAGCACTTGGGAGACTTAGGCAGGTGGATCTCTGTGAGTTTAAGGTCAGCCTGGTCTATAGAGTGAGATCCAGGACAGCCAAAAACACACACAGAAATCCTGTCTCAAAGAAACAAAGATTAAAAAAATAAAAATAAACGTTTTTTTTTTTTTTTAAAAAGAAGCCACATAAAGATGGAAAATATACAAAGGGTCTGGATTATGTATATTATTGTGTTTTCTTTGAATTTTTTTCACTGTGAATGAGCTAACTACAGAGAGACATTTCATTATATGGACTACTAAGCTAAACCAACATATATAGTTTAAAAGTCTAAACCAACATATATAGTTTAAAAGTCTCTTGACTTCAAAATTTTAGTATAAGGCTATGTTACTTTGGAAAAGAGGTTCTGATTTTGTTTCCACAGAGGATGGGAACCTCTGGATTCCTTCCAGGCTAATGTAGTTTGATGGAACAAGAACCCCAAAAGATCTCCATGAACACTAAAAATGCATCACCTAACAAGCAATAGGAAGCGGTTTGGAGAAAACTATGCCCAAATCCTTAAAATGATTGTTTACAAATGTTTATTTCATTTTAAAAGGGTTGGTTATAAATGGTTAATGGTCACAGTCAATTTAAAAAAGAAAGAAAGAAAGAAAGAAAGAAAGAAAGAAAGAAAGAAAGAAGGGGGATATGTTACACTTTACATTAGTATGGATTTTGGTCTATTTGATACAAATTTAAAGTCAATTTTGTTACACTCTCTGTGTGTGTATAAATAAGAGTAGAAATATATTTATTCAAGTACAAGCTATAATCAGGAATAGGCATCATCCCATATACATAACACAATCCAATCCCTATACATTTCTGCCAGGTCCTCTAGAACCAGGTAATGCAGAAATTGATCAATTATTGATTGGAAATGTGCTTAAGGCCTCAGAATTTAAGAAAAACATTATATCAATAGCAAAGGTTTAAAAAGGACTTTTCCATTACATGGCAACAAACCAAGGAGATTATAAGGAAATGTCCTACTTATTCTTTGTACAACCAAACACCAGTATGTAAACAGGATGTAACCCAAAGGATACTCAAAGGTATAAAATCTGGCAGATGGATGTGTTCCATTTTGTAGAATTTGGAAAACTAAAATATGTACATGACACTATTGATACCTATTCAGGTTTTCAATGGGCAACTGCTTTGAGTTTGGAAAAGGCTGTTTCAGTAATCACACATTGGGTAGAAGTTATAGCCATCCTGGGTATACTTGCACAAATAAAGACAGACAATGTTCCAGCATATGTCTCTAAGTAAACGAAAGAGTTTTTTTGCTTATTATAAAATAAAGCATATTACAGGTATATTAGTTCTACAGGACAGGCAGTTATAGAAAGATCAAATCAAACTCTAAAGGATATGTTAGATAAACAAAAAGGGATGATAAATACTCCCAGAAATAGATTGCATAATGCTTTATTAACTTTGAATTTTCTAAACACTAATGAGAAAGGAACAACAGCTGTGGAGAGACAATGGATAGTAGAAAAAACTACAGAATTAAATCAGCTGATTTACTTTAAAGTTGTACTGACCTCAGAATGGAAACTGGATCATGTGCTATGTTGGGGAAGGGGTTTTGCTTTTGTTTCCACAAGAGAAGAAAAGCTATGGATACCATTGGAATTGATAAAGTTTCTATTTGAACAAGAGACACTTTGTAAATAGAAGGGATAACAGTTCATCAAATATCATGGCCTTTTAATCTGAACTAACCTATAAAACTAACAAAAGCTTTTCATTTGATCAGATATAACTTGCCAAAAGAGAATCTCCCCAAAGTTAGGATTGGGAAGGGTATTGTTTCTGTCTTTTCAGGAGAATAAAGGCATCCAACTAAGGAATCTGAAGACCACTGGACAAATGAGACATCTGAAGAGAAAGGACAAATCATCCATAAAAAAAAATGTCACAAGAAAAAGAGTAAATAGGCCTATTGGCATGTCACATTTCCAAAAGGGTAAAATTTCATAAATCTTCCCAAATGTTTGTTTCTGCTGTTCTCTACAGACATATAATACAAATGGTCTTTTTGTAGTCCCAGTCCAACTAAAGGTTAAAGCTGGCTTTGGAGTTGAAGTGCAACTCTCTCCTTCTTCAAACCCAAGCACGCTTGTTAAAGTGAAATTCAAAAATCTCTGTCTCATGTCAGAAGAGCCACCTGATATGGGACAGAAGAAAAACAAAAATTTAAGAACTATTTTATTGCTACTAATCTCATAATCCTTTGGTTTTGTATTTACCCTTTGAAAGCTTTTCTTAAGGTATAAGAGTTACAAAATTAATATATATATTAAACATTTATTCATGGTATTAATGGTCATATAGAGTACCAATTAGTTCTAGAAAAAAAGTCTCACCTACCTTCCTATACATGATTTGGGGTTTGAGTCTCTATCAGTTTTCTGCAGTGAACCATGATCACACCTAATAGCAACCTTTGAAATCCCAAAAAGGAGGATGGGGCCCCACAATGACGATTCCTCCAGGACTATTATAACACTAAGCTAAAAAACACCACCTAAAGATGCAGAGACTGGACAACAAATGATACAGCTACCTCTCCCAGGACTTGACAATTAATCCAAATTTTTCTTTTCAGGATCCCCTAAAGATACCATCACCCCCAGAAAGCAGGAAGTAAATTTAAGAATATGAGGTCCACATTTTCAAGAGTGGGGTGGGTGGTTTTTGGTCATTCAATGGATTATTTATATTTGTCATTGTTTAGGGGGTTAGTTACAAGTTATTAGTGGTAATGGCCAGGAAAAAGTTAAAGGAAATTAGATCCAAGGTTCTTGTTTTGAAAAGAAAAAAAGGGGGATACGGATGATAGGATAAAAGGGCAGATTATTGAAGCTATTTTTTAAGTTTTAAATGTTTTATATTGGACTTTTATATATTGTATACAAATTTTGTATATTGAGATTAATTTTGTTAGAATATATTGTACAAACATTTCTACTCTTGATCAAGGTATTGTACCTATATAACTTATTTAACAATGTAATGCAAATTTCTAGTCCTTGAAAATTATTATTACCAACTGTTAAGGATAATAAGAAAATGCAGGTTAGTATTATTATTTGATAATAATAATCAAACTTGTAGTCACATTAGGTATGTTTTCAAGGTCAAACAAAGATGGATTTTAGATAGACAGGTTATCTTCAAACACTTCAGAGATCTACAGAATATGGCATTTAAGATGTTTTAATAACCTAGGTTCTTCTTTTTTTGATAATGAGACATGTCTACTCCTGGAAGCACCAATCTACTTCAGAGAAGATAATGGGCATCAAAGAAATTCCACATGGAGTTTTTCTTTGTGGCAAAAGCAAGCAGCGGGACAAGAAAATGCCCTTCTCTCGACTGCCACAGAAACATCTGTTGGATATGCTAGGCCTGTAGGCCAAAGATGGATGCCCCAAGTTTGCAGAGGAACTCTGGGCGACTGCCCAGCCAGCAGCTGTTTCTGTCATTACACTTTTGGAGGTTGCTTGCTTGTACTTCCTGCTTACTCAGTTAATATTATTTCCTTCTTGGGTCTCTGAGGAAGTTGAAGACTAGATATAGTTTTCCTTGTTTAACAGAGAAAGCAAGATAGAAAGTAAATTAGGTACAAGACTTTGGACTCACCAAGATAGGGAAGATATGCAGTATTTCCTCTGAATTTGTCAAACAAATGGACATTGTTGTACTTATTGTCTGTATATATTGTATATAGTTATTTTACATACTATATATAGTTTTTCTTAGTTATAGCCTTTTATTTTAGACAAAAAGGGGAATATAGTGATATTTTATTTATGTCTTAATAAATAAAGCTTGCCTAAAGATCAGAAGGGCAAAGCTAAGCCACTAGAGGTCAGGCAGCGGTGGCACACACCTTTAATCTCAGGATTTGGGAGACAGAGGCAGATGAATCTCTGTGAGTTCAAGGTCACTCTGGGCTACACAAGATCAATGCAGAAACAAATACGAGTGGTGGTGGCTCACACCTTTAATTCCAGTCCTAGAAGGAATATAAAATGGGAGGAGAGAGAGGCTCAGTCTGTTTAACCTGCTTAGTCTGCGGTCACCCAGCCTTAGTATAGGTAAGACTTCTCTAGTGGCTTGGCTGTTTTGCTTTTCTGGTTTTTAGGTTGAACCCCAATATTTGTCTCTGGCTTTTTATTATTAGTGCTACAGTTCAGATAGTAGGTCCAGTGATTGTCTGCTCTAATGTGAAAAGGCAGCCTTCCATGCTCACCTGTGCCATGTGCTTAACACACACACACACACACACACACACGTATAGGTAAAATATTTACTCTCTCACTTTAAGGGAGCCAAAGAAAATAGGAAGCAGTATAAACAGAACCCAATCAGAGCTATTTATTGAGTGCCAATTATGTATGTGCTAAGCTCAGGTACTCAACTCAAACTTTGGGTTGTGTTCTTTAAAGTACTAGTGATGGGAACACATCCAGAATTTCTTTAATTACTTACTCCTGCTTGGAGTAAGTTTCTTCTACCCAGCTTGAGGAGCCAGGGCTCTTTATTAGACATCGCCTGAGTCATGCCTTTCAGATTTGCTCCAGGCGACATTGCCTTTATGGGACAATAGTCTACTCCAGGAGTGTCTAATTCATTCCTGAAATCTCAGAAGCTGATTTGTGAGCTGCCATGATGCTTTCTGAATGACATAACCAACAGGACTCCAGACTTGAGAACTGAGGCTTACTGAGCCATTTCCTAAGCAGGTACTTCATGAAAGTATATTCATGGACTCTTCACAGCCTGGTGAGCTAGACTGCATGTTTCACAGAAGCAACTGAGACCCAGAAGAGGTGATGGGCCATACAGCTAGGAAGAGACAAACCTGGACACTTAGAAACTGAGGCTGGGTCACTTGACATTGTTCCTCTTTAGCCTCTTATTCTATATAGACCCAGTTCTAGATGCAGCAGAGCTGGAGGGCAGGGGACAAGGAGTTTGCAGTTAAGGGTGAAAGTGGACTGTCACAAAGGAGCTAGTCAGTCCTTGAAACAGAAAACACCTTAAAAGGTTAGTCCATGCCTCTCAGGAAACTGTTCAGACTGCATCTGCTTGGACATAATCATCTGATTAATGATTATGCAATGCTTTGGAAAACTTCCCAACTCTCAAATACACTAATTTTAGCAATAGAAATACATTTGGGTGAGCAACCTGCTTCTGTGTCAGGCAAAAAGGCTGCGTAATCTCAAAAGTTCAGAAGTCTTCACTATTCTTCCAGAGGGGACTGAGGAAGTGTGTGTGGGATGTGGTGGGGAGGAATGAGTGAGGGGAATTATTTGAGGGAAGGCATTAAGGACTAGGAAAAGGTCAGATGACAAATCTTGGGCCTTGTCCCATACCTAGAAATACCATAAAGCATCCTGAACTCAAAAGTCTATTTCTTTGTTTTGACCTCATTTCCCACTATCTTAGTGTGAACGGTAAAGATAGTTACTAAGTGATAATAGTTCTTTGAATGGGATCCTACACCCAGAGTTTATGTAACAATCCCAAATTCAAATTCTTTGGTCCTTTAACTAGAACATAGCCTTCTTTATGATCCCCTCTGGTTTACCTTCAACCTCTTCTACTATAGTGCTCAACAGGAACTTTGCCTGGCTTGTAAGTCCTCTTCCTCTGGGAAAAAGTAATTGTTGCTTTTGTTATGGTTAACCTATCTCAAAGCAGCTGGGTGGGGATTATGTGGCTCTGGATACCTAAAAACAAAAACTCCCCTCTAGCTAATGAACATTTTGGACATAACCTCACAGAATAGAACCTTTTTTTTTTTTTTTTTTTAAATCTTGTCTCTTTGAAGGTAGTAGTCACAGCTCTAGTGCTATGTTCTTCTAGCCTGGGGTTCCTGTCTCAATCCAAATGGCAATATTGAACCCTATTATCAGCCATTAATTAAACCACCTTAGGGATGCAGAAGAGGTTTGTTTACAAAAAAAAAAAAATCCTTGTTCCTTCAGGCTTCTCAGGACTGGACCAACCCCAGAAATAAAATTTGGATTAAAATTGAAGCCAGGGATATATGCAGAAGCTCCCGTCCTGGTAATCCATTGGTGTTAGACAGGATTGGGAGTTACGGGCAAAGGCCTCGCCACATTACAGGCAGATGTAAGTCTCCTTGCTACTGTGCACCACCTGGTACACAAGTGGCAAGTGGGAAACCTGCCTGAGGCTCCTGGCACACTTGCTGCAAATGTGAGGTCTTTGGCCTGTGTGGATATGCTGGTGTTGTCCACAAAATACTAGCTGCCACCAGGACACTTCTAATGTGTGAACATTAATACAACTGTGGTGTAAGATTTTGCCACACTCTGGAAAGGTCGGTCATTTGCTCAAGTGGATGCGCTGGTGTTCAATGAACATGGTGCTCTCACTGAAGCCACGCCCACACTCCAGACACCTGAAAGGCGGTTCTCCATTGTGAGTGCGCTGGTGCCTCAGGCAGTTAGAGCTGTTGGTGAAGTTCTTGCCACACTCGCAGCAATTGTAGGGCTTCTCCCCAGTGTGTGAACGCTGGTGTTCCAGCAGATAGGAACTGCGCCCAAAGCTGATTCCACACCAGACACAGAAGTAGGGTTTCTCACCCGTGTGACAGCGCTGGTGCTGTAAAAGGTTAGAGCTCAGACTGAAACTCTTGCCACAGAGTCCACAGCGGTAGGGTTTCTCGCCAGTGTGAGTGCGCTGGTGCTGGATGAGGTTGGAGCTAACCCTGAAAGCCTTACCACACTCAGCACAAGCATAGGGCTTCTCCCCAGTGTGTACCCGCTGGTGCTTCGCTAGGTCAGCACTGCGGCCAAAAGCCTCTCCGCACTCCATGCACTTATGAGGCCGGAGACCGGAATGAGAACGCCTATGTTTAGTGAGATTAGAGCTGAGGCTGAAGCAACGGCCACATTCTGGACAGGGGTAGGGTTTTTCACCAGTGTGCACTCTGTAGTGCTTAACCAGGTCTGAGCCACGCCGGAAGCTTTTGTCACACTCTGGACAGCTGAAAGGTCGGTCACACCCATGGCTGCTTTGATGGTGAATGAGGTCAGAGAGGCTGGCCACAGTCAGCCCACAATTCCGGCACCTGAAAGCTTTGGGGACTGCAGGATCATCGGTCTTGGCAAAGGCTTCTTGCTCAGCGCCCGAGCCTGACCTACATAGGTACTGCTGGACCAGCAACTTTTCCCCAGCGGCTTGCTCCGGCCGCGCCAGGAGAGGGCGCTCATGCAGCTCAGCCTCGCGATCGAGGGGCGACTCGAGGGCTCCCGGGAATTTTGACGTCCGGTTTCCCAGTAGCTTTGCCCCATCTGGATTCTCCCTACCTGCCTCTGGCGCCGCAAGTTCCATAGCGGGCGAAAAGTGCTCTGTTTCCGAAATGCCACCCGCTTAGCTCGTCAGCATAGCTGGAGAAAAGAGGCATTTGGGGCTCGGAGGTCAACACCGGAAACGGAAAGGTCTTCAAGCCCGAGCTGCTCTAGGAAGCAGCAGCGAACTTTCTCGGTAGGTTTAACTCTCTCATTCACTTAACGAGGGCTTGGAGCTCTGAGGCGATCAGTCCAGTCCTCGATCACCGCGCTTAAGGGTTGCCAATAAAATCTGAATGAGGAAAGGCGGTCGCTGACAAGGACGTGGAGTCGCTAAGTCACGTTGAGCAGCACAGACTCCATAGCGGGCCGTCTGGCTCTAGAAGCAACAGCTCACTCCTAAACTCTGGTTAGTGTCTCACCCACTTTAAACCGACTACATATCCCAGCATGCATCGCACGCGCCTCTTGCTTTCACCCAGATAAATACCATTCTCGCCATGTCTTCTGCGACTGTGCAAGTACCCAAGTTCCAGACTCTAGAACTTCAACTTCCGACTCGCACGATAACTGCGGCGGCGCCATTCAGAGCAGCAGCCTGGCCACGCCCCCCTCTTCCAGTTCCGCTCTCTCAGGGAACCGGCGAGGCGCGGGGCGGAGCCTCAGGCCCGGGCCAAGATGGCGGCTGCGAGACCGGCCCTTACGGACTCGCTCTCGTTTTGCCTCGCGCAACTCACGGCGGCGGCCGGGGAGGGGCCGGGTTGGGGAAAGGACCCCGCTACCAACGAGACACCCCTGGGCCGCGCGCTCTTAGCGCTTCGCACGCGCCACATCAAGGCAGCAGAGGGAATTGAGCGCTTCCGGGCACGCGGCGGGCTCCGCCCCCTTCTCTCCCTGCTACGCCGAACGGCTGCCGCGGGCCCCGCCCCGTCCCCAGCAGGCTCTGGCTCCGCCCCTTCGTCGGTTGCGTCAGCTGGTTCTTCCCCTGACCCCGCCCCCGCCGCTGAGTCGTCTTTGCCGCCTTCGTCGCCAGTGCGCCTGCGCAAGACGCTGGATCTGGCGCTCAGCATTCTAGCCAACTGCTGTACGGAGGGGGCGTGCCGAGCCGAAGTGCGTCGACTTGGAGGCATTCTCCCTTTGGGTAAGTGCTCCGCCCCATTTCTTAGTCCTGAGCAGTCTTAGTCCTGTTCTTATGGCACGTGTCTGAGTGCGAGCTTTGTGATGGATGCTGTAGCGCCACTCATCTCTGGTGTCATGCAGTGTGACGTCACTCCTCTCCCTATAAATTATACCCGGACCCTCCCAGACCAGAACTAGGTTTTGACCCCTGTCTCACTTTTGAGCAAATGGTTTGTACTTTATATTTTTGGTGTTTTAGCGGACAGTGCTTACTGCTGCGTGCGTCCCTGTGCATGGCTTCACGTGGATGAGCTGGAGGCGGTAGTTTTAAAAGTTCAGAGAATTAATGGACTTAGGAAATGGTGCAGTCAGACATGCCAGGCAAATCAATCCCTCCAAAGCTAGAATCCCTTGTGTAATAACTAACTATCCGACAAGACTGAAGTGGGCCAAAATGAAATTCAAATATAGAATGCCCAGACTCCAAGCACAGGCTGGGTACTTAAAACTGTATAGGAAACAAATTCCAGCAAAGGATAAGCCTTTTCGTGGACCGGCTGATTTGGCGCCTCCTAATGGTAATGATGGAAATAAAATTGTGTCATTGCTTTTCCTCTGATAGTAAGCCAGTTTTGGCAAAAATCTTAATTTTTAGGGCTGGAGAGATGGCTCAGTGGTTAAGAGCATTGCCTGCTCTTCCAAAGGTCCTGAGTTCAGTTCCCGGCAACCACATGGTGGCTCACAACCATCTGTAATGAGGTCCAGTGCCCTCTTCTGGCCTGCAGACACACACAGACAGAATATTGTATACACAATAAATAAATAAATAAATATTTAAAAAAAATCTTAATTTTTAAAGTGAAGCATTTATATATTTAAAACTTGCCTAGAATGCACTTGTACAGTAATGTGTTTGACAAGAGCCTTGACAAGAGCCTCGTAAATACCAAATTCTCTCTAACTTTGCTTCCGCTTTTCTGTGCTGGGCACGATTACCTTTTGAGTGGCAGGAATGAAAGCTGACTTGGACTGTCATGACAGCCTCAGCCATGCTCCCATCCCTGCTCCTTTCTCTTGTAATACCCCGCCACTACAGTTACCTGGACTGTCACGACAGGCTCAACCATCCTCCCGTCCCTGTCCCTGCTCCTTTCTCTTGTAATACCCCACCCCTACAGTTGCCAAGTGTGTAACGTCACTGCCCTCCTTAAAACCCCTCTGTGGCTGCCGTTGCCTTCACGTTTAATTGACTCCTTGGACAGTTATATGAGGGACTTCGTGAACTCGTAGGACAGACACCATTACCCGGGGGCATTTGGAAGAGCTGCTTCCAAACCTGAGACTCTGGCCTTCCTGTTTGCCCTCCTTCTGGCAAGTATCCGGTGCTCTTGCTCACCTCTCAGCATCTTCTGACCTTCCCTAACCCTGTCATCATGTCCGTGTCGTCCCCCCCCCCCCCCCCCCCCCCCCCCCCCCCCCCCGTTGTTGGAGATTGGCTCAGGGTTTGGTACAAGCTAGACAAGCACTCTACGACTGACCCGAATCCCCGAATCCCTGGACATTTACCACATCTAGAGATGACTGATTAGAAACAATTATGGGGTAGAGCCCTCCAGAAGACAAACTCTCCTTGCAGTGACCATTCTTCAGTGTGTGAAGACAGACAGCATCCAGAACCGAACGGCTCGCGCTCTGGGGAACTTAGCCATGGACGCTGAGAGCTGCAGGGACATCCATTCTGCTGGTGAGAAGACTGCGAGAGTGGAGTTGCTGAGATTTGTAGTGGGAGGACTCCCGGGTCTACCCTGCTCATCACCTGTCTCCCGCTTCCTCCGCCAGGGGCTGTTCCCTTCCTTGTTGAGAGCCTGACGGCCTGCCAGGACTCACAGTGTCTCCAGAGTATAGTCCGTGCCCTCCGCAACTTAGCAGACTCACCCCAGCACCGCCTAGCCCTGGCACAGCAGGGAGCAGTTCGGCCACTGGCTGAGCTCCTGGCTGCTGCCCCCGACCCTGCTCTGACCTCGGCCCTAGTCCGCGCTCTCTTGGAACTCAGCCGAGGCTGTTCCCGGGCCTGTGCTGAGCAGCTAAGTCTGGGTGGGGGGCTGGGCCCTCTTGTCAGCTTGGCTTCTCACCCTAAACGGGCAATACGTGAGGCTGCCATCCTGATCCTTGCCAATCTGTGTGCGCAGGGCCTGGTGCGGCCCGCACTGGGCAATGCTGGTGGTGTGGAGGTGTTACTAGGTGAGCTTCGGCGGCGACGGGGGCCCAATGGGACCAGCTCAGCTTCCCAGCAGCCCCTAGTACGGGCTGTGTGTCTCTTGTGCCGTGAAGCCATCAACCGGGCCCGGCTTCGGGACGCCGGTGGTTTGGAGCTGCTGATGGGCCTGTTGCAGGACCCTGGTGCCAGTGCCTGGCATCCACGTGTTGTGGCTGCCCTTGTAGGCTTCCTTTATGATACTGGGGCCTTGGGCAAGTTACAGGCTCTTGGCCTCGTGCCTCTTCTGGCCAGGCAGTTATGTGGTGAAGCTGGCGAAGAGGAAGAAGAAGGAATAGAAGCTGCTTCCTGGGACTTCCCTGAGGAACGGACCCCTGGGCAGACAGAGGCAGGAAGCTTCCGAAGCCTTAGGTGAGTCCTTATTAGGGCCTGAGGGATGGATGGTGTTTGGGGAGGGAGTTTGTGTCTGCTCTGGCCATCTTCCTTACCTCTGCCTCGTTTCTGCCTTAAGAGATTTGCCAAGATGTATTCCTAGTTCACCTCTCTTCCCTAATATCACTTGGTCTGCCATTTGACCCTGGCTCCACCCCATCATTCCAGAACTCTGATTGGGGGTGGCATGTGTCCTAGTTACAGTGGAATGCTATGGAGCCCAATTTTTATTTATTTGTTTATAATTTTCGAGATAGTGTTTTACTTTGGAGACTAGGCTGCCTGAATCTCATTGTGTAGCCCAGGCTGTCCTTGAACCTGAAGCTATCCTCCTGCCCTGCTCTTACTCTGTTACCATCACTGAAACATTTGGGAAACTAACTGACTTTTCTGAGCTGCCGATTTCACGTGTGTACAGTGGAGGGCAGCAGCCTACATACAGAGTTGTTGCCGAGCCTACCCCAACCTAACTCCAAGTGATGGCCAATAATGTCAGCCTTGGGGACTCCAGCTACATCTCCACTCTCTCTAGTACCTTCAGAGAGTCTCTCTGTCTGGAACACTCTTCCTCCTGTGTGCCTTCGTCTCTCACCTCCTTCAAAACTTTGTTCGGTTCTTGCCGTCTTTGCGAGGGGTCGTGGTCACCATCTTATTTAATATCTCGCCTCTCCTCTGACCTTCAGTGTCCCAGTCCCCGTTCTGTTACCAAGCCTCCCTGACAGCAACATACCAGGAAAGGGTTGGTTGTTTTGTTTTGTTTGGACAAGGGATCTCACTCCATTGCCTAGGCTGATCTTAAACTTAACCATCCTCCAGCATCAGTGCCCCGAGTGTCAGAATCACAGGCATAAAACACTGTGTACCTGGTCACATCACATGGTTTACTTGCTTGGGCTGTTTCTCCTCAGTAGATCATAAACCCCAGAATAATGTTTCTTGAGCCCCTGAAGCTGGACTTGGCACATCGTAAACACTAGTAATTCAGAATGAGGTGTGGCCCCACCTCCGTTTACACATCTTCACGGAACTGTTTCCCTTCTCCTTCCTTAATTTCTCCTTCTTCCCTCTCTCCGTCCCATCTATCTACTTTTTTTTTCCTTTTTGAGATAGTATCTCAGCAGGCTGTCCCAGATCTCACTCTCCCAGGCTTGCCTTGAGTTTGTGACGCAGAACCATCTTTCTGGATTCTGCTTCCTCACCTTGGCTCTGGGTTCAGACTCCTTTTCCTCCTGTCCTCTGTAGGTTGTGGCTGATTTCTGAGGGTTATGCAGCAGGCCCTGGAGATATCTCCCCAGATTGGTCTCCTGAGCGTTGTCCGATGCCAGAGCCATCTGAGTCAGTCAGCCCTACCCCTGGCCAGCCCTCAATGTCGACACCCCGCACACTGCGCAAACTGGCCCGCGTTCCCGCTGCCACTGCCGACGAGCCTTGGGGCCAGGAGGGGCCAGCACTGTTGCTGTTGTCACGCTTCTCCCAGGCTCCTGACCCGAGTGGAGCTCTAGTGACTGGCCCAGCACTGTGTGGCCTGTTGGCCTACGTGACAGGTGCACCGGGACCACCAAACCCGCGTGCACTACGCATCTTGGCGCGTCTCACCTGTAACCCTGCCTGCCTTGAGGCCTTTGTGCGCAGCTATGGTGCAGCGCTGCTGCGTGCCTGGCTCATATTCGGTGTCTCACCAGATGACTGGCCTGTGGCATGTGCCCGGCCTGCACACCGAAGCCAGCACCGAGAGCTGGGTATGTTTCCCCTGTCCCTGCCCACACAAAAGGCCCATTTCCTCCCATACCTTATGTGATCCTAGAACCTCTCCTTCACTTGCCCTCACCTTTCTCTGCAGCCTACCATCTAAGCTTCTCAGCCCCAGGCATTGAGGGTGGGGGGCTGGAAGGCCGGGGACTTTCCCGCCTCTTCCATAGCCCTGGAATACAGAGAGTTCTGTTCTGTCCTTTGTCCAAACCTTGGGGCCCAAATAACCTGGTCACCAGGTTTGGCTCCTAGTGCCGTAGAATTGGACCTTTCCTCATTTCTTTACCCACTCTGCTCTTGTTCTGCGTGGTCCTGTTTCTGCCCTGGGCACACTTATGAACTCAGGCCGAAGCACTGTGTCCTCTCAGGCTCTACTACTGAAAGTTTTCATCTCAGGACTACCCTGTCTTCTGGCCTGACTGTAGGCTGTTTTATTCCTTAGGGGCCCCGATCTGCACCCTGGCCATCCACTTGCCTGTCCTTGACCGGTACTCTTGGCACCCCTCTGTTGATTTCTTGCCCTGAGAGTTTACTCTCCTTTGTTTTATGGACTCAGAGTCCTGTCTTGCCCATAGCACCCCAACCTGACCTGCTGTACCTGTCCCTGCAGGTGAGATGCTGATGCAGAACCTGACTGTTCAGGCCGAGTCCCCCTTTGGAGTAGGTGCCCTCACCCACCTGATGCTCTCTGGGAGTCCTGAGGACCGAGTGGCCTGTGCACTGACCCTACCCTTCATCTGCCGGTGAGGGGGAGGCGGGTGTGCTGCAGGGAGCTGGGGTAAGACTGTGCCTTTCCTGTGCTGCCCCGAGACACCCCCCCACTCAAAGACCCCCTTTCTCCCACAGGAAGCCTACTCTGTGGCGCCGTTTACTCCTGGACCAGGGTGGCCTCCGCCACCTCCTCGCAGCGCTGACGCAGCCAGCTCCACACCCGCTCTTCCTCTTCTTTGCCGCAGATTCCCTCTCCTGCCTCCGAGCCCTGGTGTCTCCCCCCGACCCTGCCACATCTTCGAAGCTAGACCCACGCCCCCCTTGCCTCTATGAACCTCTCCTGGGTCCAGCCCCTCTCCCAGCTCCTGACCTGCACTTTGTTCTGGATTCAGGCCTACGGCTCCCTGCTCAGCGGGCTGCTTCAGCTGCTGCCTCCCCTTTCTTCCGGGCCCTGCTATCCGGCAGCTTTGCTGAAGCCCAGATGGATTTGGTGCCACTTCGAGGCCTGTCCCCTAGTGCAGCGTGGCCTGTCCTACATCATTTGCATGGCTGTCAGGGCTGTGGGGCTGCTCTGGGGCCCATACCCCCACCCGACCAACCCTTGCTGGGCTCCAAGGCTGAGGAAGCTCTGGAGGCTGCTGGCCGTTTCTTGCTGCCTGCACTAGAGGAGGAACTAGAAGAGGCTCTTGCCCTCATCTACCTGGGTCCCCAGAGTGGCCCTGAGTCAGTGAGTGAGGTACTCCGCTTAGGTCGGCCCCGGCTGGCTGTCCACTGTGCACGGTGGACACTGGTGCCAGGGCGGTGCCCTAGAAAACGGGCCCTGGCTCTCATGGGGCTCGTGGAAGCCGTAGGTGAGGAGGCAGGGCCTCTCGCTGAAGTTTTGCTGGCTGTGGTAACAGAGACTGAGTCATAGTACAGATGCTCTTGGATAAACTGTTGGCCTCCCTGGGGGAGCACTCAGGGGTGAGTTGGCTGTACGGGAGGCTTCTCTCAGCATGGCATGAGGGGAGACTGCAGAAGGAGCTATCCTCAGGGACTGTCGAGCAAGTGGAACTGAGCCCCAGGCTGAAGATCTCAAGATCCTCGGCTGAAAAAACACCACCAGAGCCTGCGCACAGAGTCCAAGAGGACAGACAGCTCAGGGCCCCAGGATCTGGTCTGACCAAGCCCTATGGTGTCAACATTAAAAACTTGAGATTTGGACACTGCTGTCGTGTGGTGCTTCTGCTTGCTTTCCTCTGGGGGCACGCCACCATTCCCCTGCCAAGAACCCCGTGCTTTCCACACGGTCTATCCTTGGACTTACAAGTCAATAAATAATTGCCTAGCCATTACTATAGGCCTGGGATAGTGTGGGTTTTCTGTGGGATAGTTTTGGACCCCTGGAGGAGGCCAGCTTTCTGTTTATGGATCCTCATTGCTTGGACATAGCCACCCATCTAAATACAGAAGCTGGCCGTGGCTGGGAGGTTTGGGCTGCGGGCACCAAGTGTGGTGGCATTGTAACAGCAGTTCTGCCTTCCGACTGTCCCCTGTCTCAGTCTCTGTGTCCATTCCCATCTCAAGCCATTTTTTTTTCTTTAAGATACTAATCTATGTGTGAGTATGTGCATGCCGTGGCTCCTATGTGGAAGTCAAGGGTAACTTGAGAGCGTTTCTTCTCTGCTTCTGTCATGTGGTTCCCAAACTCAGGTCATTTGGCTTGGCAGAAAAGTACCTTTACCTGGCGAGCTGTCTTCCTGGTTCAAGCCAAGTTTTAAAATGTCATCTGCCTAGGGGAGAGCCCCTATGTTCTCAGGGTTTCTGAGGCCTCTCTTGGTCATGCTCAGAGGATGTCGCTTTACTGGTGTTGAGGTGAAGGAAGGGTCTCCATCACTGGGCTCTCAGAGCTGTGGACTGAGCCTGCCAGGGTCTGGGCATTGCAGAAAGGTGAGTTAGGGTGGCTCTTGCTGTCCCTGAGCCTCCCTGGTTCAGGCTGTACATTTAAGGTGTAGTTGCACACACTTTTAATTCCAGCTCTCAGGAGGCAGAGGCAGGTGGACCTCTGAGTTCTAGGGTTGCACAGTGAGATCCTATGTACTTAGGTACATATGCCTTGTCCTTATCTGATTTAGGCTGGCATGGAGGACTATGCTGAGTTTTAGTATTTTTTACCAAACTTTTCCAGGTTCTGACTTGTTCCTGGGTCAAGGCCCATAGTCCATTGTTTAGATCCGTTCTTCAGGATGGCTGTAAGACAGCAGCCATCGGTTCACACCCATCTCCAGGTGTTTCCAACTTTTTTATTTTTTTTTTTTTTTAGGGAGTCATACAGAGACAGCTTGTCACTCTTGTGATTGGAGTCTATATGCTTCCTTCTCTTTCATCAGTACCAGAAAGACTATTTCATCAGGGCCAGAAGGGTGACAAGAGTTGTGGGATGTACTCTGATCACCTCAGTGTTAGGAAAGGTTTTCTTTTACAAGTTGTCTGCGGTTTGTTTCCTGGGAGTTTACGTGGGGTTTAGGTCTGGGTTTTGATCTCTCTGTTTTGTATACCTATTTCCAGATATGTTTTGCAGGGAAAGACCTGTCTAAAGAGTCTGGATTCACGGTGCTCTTTGTGTGAGACTTTTTTTTTGTGTGCACGCCTCTTGCCCCGCGATTTCTATTTGGCTGGCTGTCAGAACTTGGGAGTCTGATAGATCCTTAGAATGCCACTCCTGCCTCTAACAAAATTTTGCAAGAGACAAGTCTTTTAAAAATACCCTGGGTGGGAGTGGAAGCCCTGCCTAGAACTCAGGTGCTGGCTTTGGGAGGAGCGGGCTTGGGGGCTTCGACTTATGAGACTCCTTAGTTAGGCAGAAGCTATGGAAGAACCACTTCTGACTTGGCTTCAGCTTCTAGGACTTGCCGCGGAGGCAAAGGCTGGGGTGTGGCCTCTGAGCAGAGCCAGAATGCTGGCTTGGTTGGGTGGGCCCTGGGGCTGTCTTTCTTCATGTCCCCTTCTCCCCCTTCATCGCTCCCCCCTCGATCGTATCCCAGCGGGTCCTGGCTTCCATACATGGTCACGGCCCTGCTTCTAACTCCCTGACGTCCCCCCCATCCCCCGCCCCCACCGGACACGGCCCCCGCCCTGCTTGCCCCAAGCTGTCCGCCAGCGCACCGCCATGGAGGACCTGGGTGAGTGGGGACCGGATCCCCTTAGCTTCTCACCCCTGCCTGCGTCTGCCCTTTTCTCCCACATTTCCCCCATCCTGAGTTTCTTCCACCATTTTCTTGCCTCTGCCTGCCTGCGTCTCCTTCCCAAATCCACGTACCCTTTCCTGCTTCTCCCTTCCTGGCTCGTTTGCAGCGCCGCGCTCTTCGTTCTTCGCTGGCTCTGCTCCCTCAGCCCGGTTTGTGCAATGGACTAGGCGTTAAGACACCAACGGGGGGCTTGGATTAAGAGGCTTTGGGAAGGAAGGGGTTAAAGGATCCTTGGGTTTTGAGACTGGGAAAACGGACTAGAGAGGAGAGTGTGACATCAAGCTTCGGAGATGAAAAGGGGCCAGATAGCCGGTACCAGTGTTTCTAGGAGAGAGAAGAGCGAGCTCCGAAGTATAGCAGAGGTCAGGTAGTCCTCAGGGCAAGAAACAGACAGTGCCAAGGTGAGAGAAAGAAGTTTAAGCTCAGAGAAAAGGGACCGGGAGCTCCAAGATTCAAAACGCCCCAGGCATCTCATCTTCTCTAATAGCGGAGGCTGGGTCTGGAAGGTTGTGATCCCTGTGGTGGGATTTCTGGACCCAACAGCAGAGGGCGCTCCTCAATAATAGTACATGGATAAGAAGTCCACCAAAAAGCAGCTCCCTGCCAGTACCACTTGCCCCTGAGAAGGACTGGGTGAGACTCCATTATGACCAAGAAATGAGCCAGGTTGGCCAGGCTGTTTAAATATGGGGAAGAATTCGTGAGTGTGGGACAGAGAACAGTTAACCAGGAGGTTGGGTGTCAAGCATACAGCCGATTGAACGATTGGGGTTCTGTAAGAGTCCATCTCAACTGCATCAGGAAAGCTGGGGGGAAAGAGTCAAGTGACTAGGTTTGTACTTGGCTCCCAGAATGAGTCGAGGGAGATGTCTGGTCATAAATATCCCCTGCTAGCATTCCACTTCGTTGCCTTAGCCTGGCCCCGTGTTTAGATTTCTTAGCCTCTGCCTCTAACGCCGGCTTCTATCTTTTCAAATTCTGCCACTTGGAACCCCTTATCCTCTAAACACTAAAGACCTTGACACCCTCACTCCCCAGACCTCTCACCCAAGGGCCTCTCACTGCAGATGCCCTGCTCTCTGACCTGGAGACCACCACTTCACACATGTCACGGTTAGGGGCTCCAAAAGAGCGCCCACCAGAGACACTCACACCTCCCCCACCCTATGGCCACCAGCCACAGGTGAGATGAGATTCTGGGGTCTGGGGCAGCCACCAGGGCCTGGGTTGGTCTGGGCTCTGGGAAATCAGAGTCCGCGTGAGGCAAGGAATGTGGCTGTCCTTCCATACACACCTCCACTCTCTGTAGACAGGATCTGGAGAACCTTCGGGAACCTCTGGGGACAAGGACCACCTATACAGGTGAGAGGAAAGACTTGGTCACTGGGACATGGAGATGGAGAAACTAGATGAAGTTCAGGTGAGGGAATTTGGATTCCCTTCCCTAAACCCACATTCCCTTCTGTCCTGTAGCACAGTATGCAAGCCTCGGTCACCGAAACCTGTGGCCCCTGTGGCCCCTCCATTCTCCTCTTCCAGCGGTGTCCTGGGCAATGGGCTCTGTGAGCTAGATCGTTTGCTTCAGGAACTTAATGCCACCCAGTTCAACATCACAGGTACCAGGGTTACGGAGCCAGTCTTCGATGGGTTGGGGACGGGGCAAAGTAGGGCAGAGTCTAAGGACATGAAGCCTTTGCTGGGAGGGTGAACTGAGATGGCCTCTTGCCTCGTGTTATTTTTCTCATCTCTCCAGATGAAATAATGTCTCAGTTCCCATCTAGTAAGATGGCTGAAGGGGAGGAGAAGAAGGACCAAGCTGAGGACAAGAACCCACCCAGTGTGTGAGTCTGGCAGAGCTAGGAAGGAGGTGGAGGGTCCTGGATGTCTGGCTTACTAGAGGAGGCATCATGCTAGCAGGCTCTGAGGCTCTACCACTGTGTTCTCCACAGCCCTCCCAGCCCATTGCCTGCCCCCTCAAAGCCTTCAGCCACCTCAGCCACTCTGGAGTTGGATAGACTGATGGCATCACTCTCTGACTTCCGTGTCCAGAACCACGTGAGTCTGGAAGGATTTTGCCTGGTGTCACTCTGTGGTTCACCAAACCAGTTCTGATGCTTCCAATTTGTGGCCTTGTTGACTCAACGTCCATGTCCTCTCCACTGCAGCTTCCAGCCTCTGGGCCATCTCAGCCACGGGCAGTGAGCACCACCCAGGAGGGGAGCCCTTCTCCACCAGCACAGACTAGCAAGGGCAGTCTGGACACCATGCTGGGCCTACTGCAGTCCGACCTCAGCCGCCGTGGGGTGCCCACTCAGGCCAAAGGCCTCTGTGGCTCCTGCAATAAACCTATTGCTGGGCAAGTAAGTGAAGCTCCGAGAACAGAGGCATATGCCTGCACAGCCACCTCCGGGAACGAGACGCCGTGCTCTTCCCTGTATAAATATTGTTTATTCTTTGAGAATTTCATACATATAATCAGTATATTTTGGTTCTGTCTAGCCCCTCTTTTAATTCCTTCCAGTGCCCCCACCTTCCTCTCAACTTCACGTCATCTTTTCCAAAGCCACTGAGTACAGTCAGTGCTTCCGGGGTGTGATTGGGTGCAGGGCCATTCTCTGGCGCCTCAGCACCATCCAGGGGCCACATTCCTGGAGAAAACAGAAGAGCCCTCTCCCAGCAGGTCACAACTGCCAATGGCTCCTCTGCTGGAGGTTGGGCTAGGCAAGCGCCTCCCTCCTTCCTCGAAGGAATTTTAACTAGCTTGATTCTGAGGCCGTTTTGTGAAAGAGCCACAGCTGCCTTGCGTTCATGAGTACAGCATCCTGTCTTGTCGAGAATGTTCTGATTCACAGCAGTCTCCCTGCTCCTGGCTCCTGCCGTCTTCCCCAGCCCTCTTCTGTGATGCTCTCTGAGCCTTGTGGGGAGAGGGTGCTCTACAGAGGCCCCATTTAGGAAGGCATGCTCTTCCTTGTCAATGAGTACC